GAAAGGGAGAGGTTTCCAAGCTGAGCCATGCTGGCTCAGGAATTCTGGGAGTTGAAGTCCAGGAGTCCTAAAAGAGCCAAGGTTGCCTACCCCTGCTCTAAACTAATAAAGTCTACATTAATTAACATTAATTATGCTTTCATATGTTCCTCTGACTGAGGGGTCTTCAAACTTGGCCCTTTTATGACTCGTGGACTTCAACTCCCAGCATTCCTGAGCCAGCCATGCTGAGGGGAAAGGGAGAGGTTTCCAAGCTGAGCCAGGCTGGCTCAGGAATTCTGGGAGTTGAAGTCCACCAGTCATAAAAGAACCAAAGTTGCCTACCCCTGGTTTAGGGCCATAACTGAGAAAAGAGCAATAATAATAATATTGAGAACACTCCAAGTTAAAAAAAAACCATCACAAACATTATCTAAATCAACGCAGCTCTTGAATTTTTACCTCTGCAAGTGACTTATCACCAGCTTTTGAATACTGGAGTAGGAAGATTCCATGGACTGGCCCAGTTTTTTTAAACCCTGTGGGAAGAAATGGCACCTTTTGTCCAGCTTGACAAAACAACACAAACCACCATAATTTCATACTACATAAGCTGGCCTACCTTTACTGTTAGCTGATTCATTAGCAGGGCCTGAAGTTCAATACTTTTGGGAGAAGGAGAAGAAGGGGGGGGGGGAGGGAGAAAAAATGGACACAACTTCATTTTTTTTTCCTGTTGGAAGAACAGTCAAAATCTAGACAAGGTTTGAATACGCACCTTGCTTTGCCCCACAAAAGTAACTCCATAAATTCATCCTGCACAGAGGTGGTGGTATCCTTCTCCTTAAAAAAAAAAGGAAAAAAAAAGAGATTGTTGCACCCAGGCATTTCAATCGCCACAAAAGAATATAGAGAAGGCAGATCTCAAGGTTTATAGGCAAGAAAAGAGCAGGCTGAGTCACCATCCAAATATTATCTCTGAATTTTACTCCTTTCCTGTCTTCCATATGAATTTCCCATTGTTATTTCCAGCTGATCTTCCAATAGCCGAGATGGTCAGACCCGACTGGGATGGAGAATAACAGGAAATCTCAATCTAGTGGACTTGACTGACAACGTCAGAAGAATCCTGGAAGATGGCACGGATGGGTCACCTTATAGGGGAGATTGCTAGCATAAGATTTTAATAAAATACAGGTAATCCTCGACTTACAACGGTCAGAACGGGATCACATGACTCTGGGACGCTGCAACTGTCGTAAGTACATGTCAGTTGCCAAGCGTCTGAATTTTGATCACGTGATCATGGGGTTGCTGCCGACGGGCGTAAGTGTGAAAAACGGTCATAAGTCACTTTTTTTCAGTGCTGTTGCTAACAATTCACTAAACGAACTGTTTAAATTCAGGACTATTTGTCATTAAAAAGTGTACTGGGTAATGCAGGATTAAAATAATAACTGGAGGGGATCGTTTTTTCAGCATACCTGCACAAACTTGGTTAATCGCGAATCCATTTGCATCAATATTTCTTCCCAAGCTTCACACATACAACTCAGGGAAAGCTTGATGTACTGTTCACAAATAGGAGAAAAAAACATCGTTGTTGTTTTTTTTAAAAAAATAACATTGTATTGATTTTCTATTATTACATTTCATTAGTGCTTAGATTTGTGACTTGTTTTGCTTAGTAATACAAGTTAAGCTCTTTTTCCAGCCATTGATAAAATAAGTTCCACATATTTTGTATCTTCTTTTTCTTTAATATTCAATCATCAAATATTAGTGGGAAAAGGCATCAGAGATTTTATTACCGTACCTGCAGGAGAGTTGAAATGTGTGTAAATTTTCGGGCCATTCGAGTCACTTCTGGTAAATAGGTTGAGAGCAGGCTGGTATCCATCTAAATTAGAGAACCAGTTTGTAATCTGACAAATGGTATAAGGTTTCCTGCCTGAGCAGGGGGTTGGACTAGATGACCTCCAAGGTACCTTCAAACATCATCATCATCATCATCATCATCATCATCATCATCATCATCATCATCATCATCATCATCATCATCATCGCTTTCCCCTCCAAAAGGAAAAAAATAGATAGATAGATAGATAGATAGATAGATAGATAGATAGATAGATAGATAGATAGATAGATAGATAGATAATGGATGGATGATAGATAAGATAGAGAGAGAGAGAGAGAGAGATGGATGGATAGATAGATAGATAGATAGATAGATAGATAGATAGATAGATAGATAGATAGATAGGAATAGATGGATGGATGATAGATGACAGAGAGAGAGAGAGATGGATGGATGGATGATAGATGATTAGGTAGGTAGGTAGGTAGGTAGGTAGGCAGGCAGGTAGATAGATAGGTAGATAGATAAGATAGATAGACAGAGAGACAGAGAGACAGACAGAGAGAGAGAGAGAAAGAAAAAGAAAAAGAGATAAAGATATTTAAAAAAGAAGTTTTAGCCTTCCTGTGGAGTTGATTTCTTGGTTTGGTCTACACAGCGGAGCTCACAAAACAAACCAACCTAGGAACAGGATGGGAGTCAAATAATCACATCCTGCCGGTGAA